CCACACCATATGGACTGTAGCATTAGTGTCTGTTGGACAATATATTTTGAAGACTTTTTACAGTGATATTTATGAATGAAGGTGGTGTATAATTTTCTTGGGGAAATATTTGTATTTTGGAATCTGTGATGCTTGTTTTTATTTATTTATTTTTATTATTTCCTCCCTTATTGTCTGTCCTCCAATCTTATAGAGCACACCCACTTTTGGATTTAAGAAAATTGATAATATTGCTAGCATATGATTAGTACAATACAAATTAGTTACTAGCATATAATCTGTACAATTACAAATAAATTTAACCATGATGAAGTACTCTGTGAAAATAGCCACTGTGGTTTGCCTCCACCTAGTAAATGGAAAAAATGAAAACTCCCTAGAGAAGTGTTTGCTTTGTCCCACTGATAGCCAAGCAGGATTGAATGTCAGCCTCCTAGAGAGGGAAATTTGAATCAACATAAAACCAAGTTGTTAGAATAACAGGGAGGAGAGAGGGAAAGGAAGGAGGAGGAAGAGGGGCAGGAAGAGATGAGAGATGAATGCATGCATGCATGAATGAATGTGTTTAAGCTCTTGATGTGATTTTTCAAAGATCCCCTTGGCTTGCCTCATGTTTGTGTAGACATATGCATGGTAGAAGCTTCGCAGGACAGGAATACCTGCCATTTTGACAACATTCTGAGCAGTGCCTCTTGCAAGACTGGAGTTCTCTACTAGAAAGAGATCCAAAATTTGAAAGTTAGAATTAAATTGGGCAATTATAGTAGGATCATATCCTTGACTAAAAATAAGACAATATATATCCATATATGTCTTCAATATTTGACTTCTTTAAACAGTAAATTCTCTTATCCTTTACCCTAGGGCATTTACAATGCTAAGCAAATTAAGTTAAACTGGGCTGACCAGTTTGTAGGATTAACCACCAGAATTACAAATTTAAAGTAACTGCATCCTAGATAAATTATCTTGCATTGAGATTTTAATTGTATATGTTCCCTAAATAATGAAATAATTACTTTTGGTAGAACATCTGCGAAGACCACAATGTGTGTATTCTCAGTCTGCTACAAATCCAAAATACAGACCGGAATGGAAATCGTGACTTTAGTGCTCTATCTTCCCATGTCTGTATCACCAACAGAGCATGAGCAATCCGGAAACACTGCAAGTTGGGAGTATTTAATGAGCAGTAAGAACGAATATACACCCAGTGTTCCACTTCTGTTCCAGGTGTTGACACACTACCACAGCCTGTGCAAATCGACTGTGAACATAACCAAAAACAAACAAACAACAAAATAAAAACAAAACAGCTTATTTTTAAATTGTTCCCATGACCATGTTGGATCCCGGGCACTGTCCTTGGTGTATGTATTGCTCTATCATTTCAAGTCCTTTTCAAAAGCTACTAACCCATAATTAGTCTGTCTTAAGGGAGTAAACATTAGTTCTAACTCTACCATGATGAACAACTTACTAAAGCTCATGTTTAGTAAACATGGCCTCTGTGTTCTAGAAGGGCATTGTTGAGACTTATTAAAGAGACATTTGAAGACTAGATTAAGATATTTATATAATTGTAGGGCCACATGTGAAACTAACATTGAGGGCCCTTGTTTCAAAAAAACAGGATTGATTATCAATAGTAAACCTCCTCCTCCTACAGTCTCCCACATGATTTTGTCATGTGTTATTTGCTAATTAATGTAATTCTAAAGAATAAAAACTATAAATTATAGTATGTGGGCCTTTGACCTCAATGACAGTGCACACTGCCCATTTTCAATGTGAATTCCAGAACCTTTACATCTCAACAGCAGAGCTGGAAGTGTGCAGCAAGTATTTTGTAGTTCCTGCATGCATGGGGATTTCTAAGCAAAATTGAGGAAAAGCTGCACAAAATGTCTCCACTTTAATTCACTTTTGACACAGGCGTGCATATTCTATGGATGCTCTTTTTAACTTATGAATGAGGGGGACCTTAAAGAGAATGGAATTGTCCTGTCTTTCCCTTTTCTTCCGTGTTGGCTAGCACAGCAAAAGCGGGCAGAAAGAGGTTCCTTGCTGGTTTGTGTTTCTTTAGACCCCCACCTGTTTCTCAAAGAAGCAAGCTCTGGCTTGTGTGGCCAATGTGTCATGTTGGGGCTGTCTGTGACTCCCTCCACATCTTCTTTCTTAGTGGTAAGATTTGCTTGTCCTCTTCTCTTGTGTGTGTGGTGTGTGTCCACATGTGTATGCAGGCATGCTGGCCTGTGCATGTTCATGTGGAAGCCGGAACTCTATGTCTGGTATCTTCTACTATTTTACCCCTTAGTTTTTAAGACAGGGTCTCACGGAACCTGGAGCTTGCTGCACTTGGAATGCTTTACGTAAAGAGGGAGGCAGAAACCCACGGACAAGTGTTGTTATTTCTGGCTCCATTTGTTCTTGAGCATGCCCCCATTATCCCATGAGACTTAATTTTACAAAATGAAGTTCAAAGATCAAAGTGATAAAACTTTCAGGGGTTTGGTGAGATGACTCAGGAGGTTAATGTGATTTTTCCTTAAGCCCTATAACCTCAGTTTGATCCCTGGAACCACATGGTGGAGAGAACCGACTCCACAAGTTGTCCTTTGTCTTCCACACACAAGTGTATGCACCCACCCACGTACACATACACAAAAGAAGTAAAAAAAAGTAAAAATAAAAGTATTTCCAGATGGTGATAGGAACCAAACGTGGGGTCCCTGTGAAGGGTGCAACTGTGTATGTTGCACGCCCGTGAAGCTGACCATGTCTCAGTGATCTCATTATTACGAGAGATAATTGCACTTCTAGAATATGCAGGATCAGCATGACATGTCATTAGTGTATAAATTTATTAACAGCTATTTTGCACACAGAAAGCATGTATCATATAGTTTGACACCTATAATGTCCCTCTACCCTAATAAACTCACCCAATGGTGGTTATAGTCCTATTACTGAATCTGGGTTGAGCATTTCTTATGGGAGTTTTAAATAAGCAAGATACGGGCTGGAGAGATGGCTCAGTGGTTAAAGAGCACCGACTGCTCTTCCAGAGGTCCTGAGTTCAATTCCCAGCAACCACATAATAAGATTTGGTGCCCTCTTCTGGCCTGCAGGGACACATGCAGACAGAACACTGTATACATAATAAATAAAAATAAATCTAAAAAAAAAAAAGTAAAATAATAATAAAAAATAAAATAAAATAAATAAATAAATAAATAAATAAATAAATAAATAAGCAAGATACACTTTCCAACGCGTGGGGCTCTGGGAAGCTTGGGCACACTTTACCTGTGTTCATGAGGTCATATGGTCATGAATTCATCTGGTCATGAGGCAACTATGCAACAGACACAGCCCTGAAGTGAATTCCAAAGATTGCCGGGGTTCCTTCCCTCAGTAACTAAGCAGATTATAGCAAATGGGGAGATGCCGGCCATGTAAACGAAGTTGGCTCCTTAAAGCCTTGGGTAAGAAGGCCTCTTCTATAGCCACAAAGGGGAAATGTAAATACAAAATAAAAATAAAACAAAAGGTCCACCTGAGCAAGTAGTTCTGAACTATGGTTGACTTAGCAGCTAAGTCAAATTTGATGACCAAGAAGTCTCAGGTCCCAAAGTTCCTGAAGAACTATTAGAGTAATAACTCATCAACCAGTTCAATACAATCGCTAGGTAGAATACTACTTTTCAAGTGTTTTTTTTTGTTGTTGTTTGTTTGTCTGTTTGTTTATGTATGTTTTACCAATCAGTCATCTTGGATATACTAGTTTTTAGAAAGGCTATCTCATTAATTACTCAGTCCTTATTGAATAAGCTCACATCTCTTAGCTTTAATATTGCTTCTCAGCCTTTTATCTAAGACTATAGTATCTAATATGGTTTAACATAATTTTACTTACATAATTAAAGACCTAAATATTTTTAAGGATTGTTTCTTCTATTTCACTGATATGCTGCAGTGGATGGCACCATACTTGTGCATATAGGGCAGCAAAATAGGACTCAGTGGAGTAAAAGAAAAGATGTGAAATTGGGGATGGACATAGGCTGAATCCAGGAGTTGTTGGCAGAAGTAGAGGCTAAATATTACTAAAATAAATTGTACACATGTTTGAAATTTTCAAAGAATTAATATATCTGGCTGGTGTGATGACTTGGAGGTTAAGAGCACTTGCTACTCTTACAGAGGACTGGGATTTGGTTCCCAGCACCCACATGGTAACTCACAACTACCTATAACTACAGTTCTAGGAGATGAGATGCCTTCTTTTGACCTCTGAGGATGCTAGGAAAGCATGTGGTGCATATACTTGCATGCAGGTGTGTGTGTAAACGATTGTGTGGGTATAGTATAAAGTTTAGAAAGGCTTTCAAGAGGGTAACAGTAGATGATGTGGAAAGAAGGGGTGCAGGCGGAAGGACACAGGAGTCATGAAAGATGATAGAAAGCTATTTTTCCTAGTTTCAACTTGCAGTTTTTTTTTCATCTTTAGTGCTGCATAAGAATGCACTGGATAGTGAAAGTATAAAACCCTAAGCAAAGCCACATAGCTTCAGAATGGACATTCTGACGGTAGAGACATTCATTTGGATGCATAGGGTTTGGGACTGGGCAGGGATTTTGAGAGGTTTCCTTAAACTAGCTGTGTGATGTTTTCATTTGTGAGTTAATAAGAATAAAGTGATTTTTCTTAAAAAGAAAGGTCTGTGTAGCGTGTGCTTTTTAAAGACCTCTTCCCCACCCATGCCCATTTGGGTTTGAAAATATGGATCTAATTTCCATTGCTAAAACTTAATGGGCTTTTTAGAAAGTATTAATTTTCCAGCTCTTGAGTCTTCTTATTCACTGATACCAGGGTCAGAGAGAGTTTAACACCAGGAAATATTCATTTAGGACATGGGTGCACTAACTCCCACGCTGGTTCTGAAAGGATGTTGCTGAAAGATGTGGTTTTTTTTTTTGTTGTTTGTTTTTTTCAGATGCGGAGCCGAAGTATCTGATAGTCGTGCGACCCGCTCCTCCTCCCAGCCAGAAGAAGTCATGTTCAGGTACAGTTGTTGTATTGCATTTTCTTGTAGTTAACTTGCTCTGTGCAAGCTCACCTTCCATTACATGCCAGAGAAGAAATGCCTTGGGAATATCTTAGCAATGTAGGTATAGATGGTTTCAGTCCTGAGTCTGCAGCTTACCCTGCTGGACAAGCAACCATAGCCTGGTCTTAGACACTACTCTCAGCATAAGTTGGCATTGCTACTTCATGTGACTGTCTAGGCTGAGGTTTAGACAGTTAACACACTCTCTTCGCCTAGGTTAATGGGAGGGTAAGTGAATTAACACAGCTCCTGGCCTGTGATAAGTGTCATTTTAGCTAATTCCTGCTAGCCTGTTTCTATTGTGTAAGGGTGACCTCTTGCCCACTCTTGGCCTTTCAGATTTTAAAGACAAAGCTTTATAACTAACCTTGGCTTAAGGAAGCCATTTATGTTTGAAAAGGAGAACTCATTTGTGTATATACTGAAGGGATTGGCGCTTTGGTTTTATTTACTCTGTGTCCCTCCTTTCTGGACTTAGCTCCAACCAGGAAGGCTGGAGACAGAAAATGGATAACATACATATCAATAAGAGCAAAACTTTAACATGACTGTGATACTGTTGCCAACTTGACAGGAGTCTAAATCGCCTTGGAAACACACCTCTTGGCACACCTGTTAGAGATTACTTAGCCTCTGGGTGTGCCTGTGAGGGTGTATGTCAGTTAGATTAATTGAAATGAAAAGACCTAACAGTGGGCAGTATAGTCCCCTGAGATTCCATCCTGGACCACATCCAGGAAGAGAGTGCATGAATCTATCCCTCTGCCTCTTGGTTGTGGATGTGCCTTGACCAGCTATTTCAAGCGCCTGCTGCCTCGACTTCTCTGCTATGAATGGTTACCCTTGAATCATGAGCCAAAATAAACCCTTTCTCCTTGAAGTTGCTCTTGCTGCTGGGATATTTAACCCCACAGCAACAGGAGAAAAATACTAAAGACAAAAGACTAAAAGCTTGCCATGTCTAATTAGTAAAACTTCATGTGAGCATTGCTCTGAAGGAAAATGTTGCGTCCTCTAACAGAGTGTCCACTTTCCTTCCTGTGGATGGTATTGACCACAGAGTTCTACTTTGCTCTTTCTCGTGTGAACTCTTCTCCACTCAATGATTCCCTAGCCACTTTTATCTTTTGAGTAAGCCTGGATGCCACACAGAAAAGCATCTTTGTGTTTGTTTTGCTTCTCTGGAGGAATGAGATGGGAGGAATAGCATTTGATAATTCTACCACACTGAGCACAGGTATCTTGGCTACTCTGAATTTGTACTCAATGAATTAGCACAGGGCTGGTCACCAGAACTCAGCTTCTAGCACCCTTCTCTCCTTTTCTTACACTTCCGTCATTTCTTTTACAAGTAGCATTGAATGATCAAGCATTCTGAGAAATAAAAATATATATATATATACATTTTATCCCCCCTTCCACCTCTTACCTGAAGCAAAGGGGAAAACTCAGTATCAAGACAGTGCTTCAAAATTTTGAACAACAACGTCAAACGTGACTGTGGTGTCCTAGAATGTGATTTCATTTGGCTGGTCACTGACCTGTTTGTTCATGTAACCCTGATCATATAAATAAAAATTTATAAGGAAAATCAGACCACTGAGGCTTTTGTGGCTCAAGTAATAATTCCTACCTTCATTTTATTTCAAGGTTGCTGACGCTGGCCTTGGAGATTATTTCTCACCTCCTCATTCCTAGCTCAGGAAGTTGTATCATCCTGCTCAGCATGAGATAGTTCCACCTTTTCTCTTGGGCAGTGGATATAGTTTCTGGTTTTGTATTCTGCATCTGGGAGAGATGTGGTGACTAATGGAATCACTTCCATTTGTTTTACATTTGCATCTGCCACATAGAGTCTAATTAGCTAATCTTTTTCATATTAAAATCGCCAAGTTAGTGACATAATTGTTTGATTATACAAGCTTTGGATCCCTTGGGGAATGAAATATACATTTTTCATCTCTAAAGCTGCATTTCATCTCCTCATATACTGCGAGTTGAGCCAAGGATTCACTACAAAGGAAACTAGAAAATAATCAAGGAAATCCAAATATGAGTTTTTACCTTGCGTTCTATGTAATTTTGGACACCCTTTTCTGGCCCTTCTTATTCATCTCTAAAATGATGCTGTTGTATTACATTTGTGACAGTCAGCTCAGAAACAGGAAGATTAGTATAATCACCCCAGTGTTTGTTTCCAAGCTGTGTGTGCCCCCTACTTTCAATCAAGAGTCTCCTATCCAGTTCTTGGAGGTCAAATGTAGACCACTCAAATCACCATCTGCAAGGCTTGATGACAGGCTCATCTGAAAAGGTTTATAGAGAGGAGTACATGCCTGTCTGCAGCCAACAACTGTCATGATATTCATAAATTACTTTAGACATCCTTAAGAGGTCAACTTTCCTAGTTAACATTCCAGTGTTATGTTACTATGTCAAACACCCAAGATAATCTTAGTTTTAGAAGGTTGATTCTGTAACCACGGACCCCATTCTTTAGGGTTACGGTGAGACATCATGGCAGGAAGGCATTAATGCTCATCTTATGATCAGAATTCAAAAAGTGAGAAAGAAGAGACTGGGATTCCATAATCCCCCTTTTAGGGTATACCCCAAAAATCTAAACCCTTCCCATTATGGCTTACTTCTTGTAGTAACTCCCAGTAAGAGCATGGGATGAAAACCAAGTCTTTAGCATTGTGACACTCACTCACATCATAGAACCATATGTAGTAAAAAACATTTACTATGTATTTTCGAAAATTTGAAGAGGGTGTTTGTTACTTCACCATAAGGAAATGCCAGATGTTTAACGATATAGATTTACTCTGCTTTGAACATTACACAATGTATGCAGCTATTGAAAGATATGGCACCCCATAAATAAGCCAGCTGCATTAGAATGAGGCCTTTTTATACCACTGGATTGTATAAATCCTGGGTTCAGAGGCTTTCTTCCTGGAGTTATAATTGACAGACCATAGAGAAACAGACATGACAGTTTTTAAGAGCGTTTGAGTCAAATAGTCACCATTACACTTACTTATGGGGTCCTGTCTTACACACTTGACTAAAGGTCCCAGGCACTGTGCTGTATTGTTTCAAGCCCACTAGACTGAGAATACCCAAGTCCTTCCTATAATAGACACAGCATGCCCAGTCTCATGAAGCAAAGAGGAAACTCAGTAGGGATGCAGTTTTATGAGACTTATTTTTTTGAATTTTGATTTTATTTCCCTGGTTGAACTTGTATCCAAGGTTCTTCCTTTTCCTGCCTTCTCATTTCTATAGTTTCAAATGATTTTTAAAATCGAAATGCCTACCCCACACCCTTTCCCCCTTGTGCTTGAAAAGACTCTATACCCATTCACTAGCATAACTTGTGGTATTTCCCAAATTCTATAAGTCCCTACAGAACAACTGTGCTTCTTGTATTACCCCCCCACCTCACCGGCATTATTTCAAATGTGTGTACCTTTCCATTTGTGTGTTTACTGTAAGCATAGGCCTATTACAATATTATATCAAGCAAGTTTATACTGTAAGGTAAGATTTTTTAAAAATATGACATACAACTTCCATAATAATGTCATGTTCTCTTTGGGGGGTGTTAATTCAGTCTAGAAGAGTGGTTCTCGACCTTCCTAATGCTGCAACTCTTTAATACAGTTCCACATGATGTGATGACCCCCAACCATACAGTTTTGTTGTTATGTCATAACTGTAATTTTGCTACTGTTATGAATTTTAATGTAAATATCTGATGCGCAGGATATCTAATTTGTGACCCCTAAAGGGCTCATGACCCACAGGTCGAGAACCACTGGTCTAAAAGGCACATTTTAAATTTATTCTGTGAAAGAAATAAAGCAAATGGAATGTGTATATACACAGAGATGTAAGTATGTGTCTGGGTGTTTACTTCACTAATCATAGCCAACACCTGCGTAACTATGTGACTCACAGGAAAACTAAAGCCTGGGTATCATCACATATGGTTTGTGTGTGTGTGTGTGTGTGTGTGTGTGTGTGTGTGTGTGTGTGTGTGTGTGTGTGTACACATATACACCTGTACATATATGAACATGCACACCCAAGATCAATAAAGCATTTCCTTTGATGTTTAAATTCATGGATAAAAATCAGTCTTTTAGGCCATATGAAAACTCATGAAATTCTCAAAGAATTTATAAAAATATGATTTTTAAAAACACTCTCATGAAGTCTAGAAATGACTCAGAAAAATATCTTGACATGATAAAAGCTAAAACAAAAAGGAGAGAAAGAGGTGTGGGAGAGGCAGGAAAGATGGAGGAGTGAAGTGGGTTTTTTTTTAATCAATATTTTTTAATTTTAATTTTTTGGGGAGATGCTATGGAGGGGCTGGAATTGGGTTGCATGATGTGAAATTGCCAAAGATTCAATAAAAAATTATGCTACAATAAAGATACTGTGCCTGGAGCTAACTGTGTGCTGCCTCCCCAGGCAAATCTCGCTCTCGAAAACCTCTCCAGCTCGTGGTTGGTACATTGTCGCCAAGCTCAGTCTTCCTGTCCTGGGGTTTCCTCATCAATCCGCACCACGACTGGACGTTGCCAAGTCACTGTCCCAATGACAGGTAATTCCCCATAATGGAAATTATTTTTCACTACTTTTGATAGTATTGACACATGCTTAGAAAAATGTTCAAATTTTGGGGTCCTTAACATTTACTTAACACCTATTGGCCATATAATTGTTCTAGGTATTTGGGGTACATGGATATCTAGTAAGGGACGCTGCCAATAACAGAGCTGGGATCTATCTGAGTAGAAAACATATGGATGTGAGCAAACACTAAGGGAAGGAACAAATACCAAATGGGCAGTGTCATGCAGAATTGGCAATATCAATTATGCAGAGGGCACGGAGGCATGAACTAAAGATCATATCTATCTATTATGTCTATATCTATATAAATATATATCTATATATATCTATATATCTATTATGTCTATATCTATATATTTATATAGATATAGATATAAAGATCATAAAGATATACTGTGTATTTGTGTTTGTGTATGTGTATGTATCCTTTCAAATAATTAGAAATACTCCTTATTTTACTCACTACTAAGCCCATGTCTTATTTTGCTCAGTTGACTGATTCTTGAAAGTACTTATTTTTAATAATAACTGCAGTTGTTAGTGGATGCCATTTCTAAAAGAAATAAACACATTGAGATAGGCTCCTACTCTGAGACTCAGGTGACCTTGAGCTCACTGATCTTCCTGCCTCCACCTCCCAAGTATTGATCTTTGATCTAAAAATTCAAGAGTGTTGGAAGCAGAAGTCCTTGAAGCATGGTTTCAAATCAAGCTCCATCACTATTTCCATCATTGGGGAACATGTAACATGCAAACTGAATGTTCCCCCATCCCCAGACTTCATTGGGTCAGAAATTGAATGTGGGTCTCAACCATCTGTGTTTCAACAAGAATTCTAGATGATTCTGTTGTCCACTGATGTTGAAGAAAACTGGCTTAGAAAACTAGATGTGAACACATGGGAGAATTAAGCAGAGGTGGAGCAGAGAGGTGGTGGTTGGCAGAACAATTAACAGTCATTCATGTTTTCAGATAACTGCAATTCATTTATCCTTCAACCCAACACAATCTTTGGCTCTGTCTGAAATGAGCAGTGAGTTAAACACTGAACCATGATCCTAAATGGCTTATTCAGGGTATTTGCTTCTCATAAATATTTACTACATAAGTATCAAAATTCAAAACTGCGTAAGTTTGCAAAAATCTCAAGCTTAGAGACGTTTAAAAGGGGTGTTTAGTAGTTCTTGTTTTAAATACACTAGAAATTATTTCAAATTTGAGAAAAGTTGCATTCCTGCTTTAAAATAAAAATGTGGGGTGTAATTTAAACATAGTAAAATCTATAAAACTTGTACAGTTTGAGGTATAAATTTTTATATATTTTATAGCATTAAGAAATAGAAAAGAGTATGTTATTCTCTGTACCTTGGGCAGTTGTTGGCATCTGTGTTAATCACCTACACTAAATAGATGTTTCTTTGATGAGGGTTGAGAGATGCACTCATCTCTGGGTATAAGGATACATAATTAGGAGTCTGTTACTATTATGTCCATTTAGCAACATTCTAGTAATAGGCTCTTGCTGAGGGCCTATGACCTATCTAGCCCAAAGTTCTTGGCCTAGCAATGGTGCCAGGTATGGGTTTCATCCTGTGGTATGAGACTTACGTCCATCATAAAGTGGTTGGGTACTTCCATGATGTTCATTTCACAATTTCACTGGTGAGCATATCTTGCAAGGCCAGTCATTGTTGTAGCTCTCAAGGATCACAGCTGGGTAAGATGATGATTTTTTTCCCTCTGGTAGAATGCACAGCACCTTCAAGCACTATGAAAGCTAACCAGTAGGGATGAAACTTCCAGATCAGGAACGGTTTGATTTCTCTATGGTCTATGACTCCAGTAATAAGGTCTTATTGTCAAGTTCTGAAGGGTAACAAAGACCAATGGCAATAGTCTAGAATGTTTGGGTGTCTATGAGAGCTCATTGGCCAACATCCAAAAGAAGAATTTTTTTCTTTGCACTGGGATTTTTATCTATTAGCTTGTGATGTCTAGTAACATTGTTGGCCTGTGGGTAGGAAGTGAGGACCTATTGGAGGAGGGGGTGAGTATGATCAAAACATATTATATGAAATTCTAAAAAAAAAAAGAAAAGAAATAAAGAAACAAATAGAATTCCAGAAAGTACCCTCTTCCAGAAACATCCCTTGATTGTATTTTTATCCCTATAGATTAATTTTGCCTCCTATAAAATCTGTATAAATGGAGTCACATTGCGTGGAAGGGTTGATCTGTCTTCATTCCTTCAGCATGCTTTTAAGTTTCATTTCTAACATTTCAGGTGTCAAAAGTCTACTTTTTTTTATTCCTGAGTAGCGTTCCAGTATGTGAATATTCTTGTTTATTATATATTCTGCTGGTGGGTACAAGGATTGTATTGATGAGGCCGTAGAGATGGCTCAGTGGTTAAGAGCTCACTGGTTGCTCTTCCAGAGGACCAGCTTTCAACTCCCAGTACCCACATGGCAGTTGACAACCATCTTACCCCCAGTTCTAGAGGATATGGTAACTTCTTTTGTCCTCTGAGGGCACTGCACACATAGACCCACATATGTACATACAGGCAAAATACCAATGCACATAAAAAATAAAATCAAATAAAACTGTGTTGTGATTGTTTTTATGTCTATCACTTCTATAAACATTTTCACACAAGACTTTGAGTATATTATCTAATCTCTTGGGAGGAACATACCTCCAGTTGGAGTTGCTGCATTGCAGGAGTGTATGCAGGATGTATATTTAACTGTCTCTCTGGCTTCATCTACATTCCCTTAAGCAGGCTGTGAGAGCTCTGCTTGCTGTAAATCCCCTTCAGTGTTTTGTGTTTTGACATGTTTTTTAATTTTTTTTTATTTTATAATTTAATTTAATTTTACATATCAGCCACAGATTCCCATGCCCTCCCCCTCCCCCCATTCCCATCTCCTCCAGGGCAAAGACTCCCCTGGGGATTGAGTTCAACCTGGTAGATTCAGTCCAGGCATGTCCAGTCCCCTCCTCCCACCCTGCATAAGCCCCAGGTTCCAAACAGCCAGCACATGCACTGAGGACAGGTCCCCGTCCCACTGCCTGGATGCCTCCCAAACAGTTCAAGCTATTCAGCTGTCTCACTTATCCAGAGGGCCTGATCCAGTTGGGGGCCCCTCAGCTATTGGTTCATAGTTCATGTGTTTCCATTAGTTTGGCTATTTGTCCCTGTGCTTTTTCCAATCTTGGTCTCAACAATTCTTGCTCACACGATCCCTCTTCTTTCTCACCAATTGGACTCCCGGAGCTCCACCTGGGGCCTGGCCATGGATCTCTGCATCTGCTTCCATCAGTCATTGGATGGGGTTTCTAGCACAACAGTTAGGGTGTTTGGTCATCCTATCACCAGAGGAGGTCAGTTCGGGCTTTCTCTCAACCATTGCCAGTAGTCTATTGTAGAGGTATCTTTGTGGATTTCTGCATACAATCGTGACATGTTTTAATTGTAGCTCTTCTAGAATAGTGTTGACCCATTACACTTAACACACACTTCCCTTGCTCTGAGGATAGCTGAGCTTTTTGGGCTGTGAGATTATTTTTGTAGGGTTTTATTCTTGTTTAAACTGAACTGGAATGAAAAGCCTTTTAAAGTCTTTGCAAGTTCTCAAAAGTACCTTTTAAATTACTTTGATTGGGAAATCTAAGCTGAAAAGGAATGAAATCAAATTTTCCTTCCTGTGTCCATGGTCCTCAAGGAATAAAATACTTGGAAGAAAGCATGGGGATGATTATTTCCAAAACTCTTTTTTTTAAATTAATTTTTAAATGTTTCAAAAAATCTGAAATATTTCTTATTTCACCCACCACTAAGTCCATGACTTATTTTACTTGGAAAATACTCTTGAAAGTGCATATTTGTTTTATGATAATTCCAGGTTTTTAGTGGAATAGTTCAGTATGCCAACACTGGGAAAATAATGTGCTGGTTGAGTTGCCCCCCCCCCCAAAAAAAACCAAACCAAAACAACAAAAAAAGGAAGAAGAAAGAGGAGAGAGGGGAGAATCAGAAAAAGAGGAAGGGAATGTGATAGTCTTACAGCAAAATGCAGTTTGATTTTAATGGTTGCTCAGCTGGCTTGATGAATCCTTGAGGGGGGATGTGTTCCACCAAGGTCAATGGCAGCCAGGGGAATTCTTGGAGCATGTGCAGTAAGTGCCTTCCAGTGCCTTGTGACTTTCCTTTATTTATGCTTGAGTAATGCTGACCTTTCCATGAAGAATTTATCTACTCTTGCCACGGGTTGCCATTGTTGGCAGCACCGATGGACAGAGCATTTAGAGGATGTCGGAGCAGATGGCTGAGAGCTAGGTCATAGACTCTGAGACTTCTGACTCAGATCATAAATACATCTCGGCCTTACCCTGGCTCACCAGTTCTGGCCCTGCCCATTTCCTTAAATAGATGTAGTCATGTATATCAAATTACAGTATTAAAATTCTGATTTGAGTAAAGTGTTCAAAGGAGTCAGTATCATCTCAAAATGATTGTATCTTTTCAAATCTGAGTTGGAAAAATAGGAAGTGTTCAGATAGGACTTGGAGAAGAATTAGAGAGTCATGGCTGAAAAGGACCATTTTAAGTACTTGTAGATTCTGCTTTTCTAGGCAACTTTGCTCCCAAGTCGGCACAGTTAGTAATGAGCTGACATTCTAAAGCTTTTGTCGTGTTTGAGAAAAATGAGCAGTGCTGATTTAAAAGCACCAAAAATACTGTACACATTGTAAACACCCAAATGCCTCTACCAGAACTGCACATAATTAGAAACAGACCTGGAGGAATCTGCCCTCATACAGTCTTGCTGCTTTTTTTTTTTAAATGAGGTTAGACCAATCCAATGGGTTAGAATAAGCAATAACAGCTAAAGGGAATGATTAGGTCTTGAAAATTAGAAGACTAACATAGCTGAGATTTTCTTTCAGCCATACCTTCTTTAA